GCTGACAGCACAGAGCCCGATGTGGGGCTCCTACGAACTGTGAGATCATGACCTGAGCCGAAGTCCAACACTTAACCGACTGAACCCCTCAAGAGCCCCTTCACTGCATTTTAGAGTTCTACTGATAAGTGTCATCCTTCTAACAATAATATAGGGACAATTTGCCCAGCCCCCGCCCTGCTCCAGGTGCTGAGCTGGGTGCTTTATCACACCCCTATGAAGTGGTCACAGTGAATATTATTGTCAGTAGTTATTAGGTGCACTTTAAAGACAGGGAAACTGAGGGCGAGGGAGTGGACAGGACTCACAGACAGCGGCTGTTAGAAGAGGGACCTCTGAGCTCCGGACCTGTGTCTAGCCTAACCTGCCTCTGCTCCTCCCCAGGCCTCACCTTCCCCGATGGCACAGGTACCAGGGGAAGTGGACAACATGGAGGGCCTGCCGGCCCCTAACAACAACAATCCTGCAGCCCGCTGGGAGAGTCCGGATCGGGGCTGGGAACGGGAGCAGCCAGCAGCCGCCACGGCAGCCGCCTCCCTCTTTGAGTGCTCCAGGATCAAGGCCTTGGCAGGTACCTGGAAGAGGGCTGGGGTGGGAGGAGGGAAGGAAGAAAGGGAGGAGGTTGTTGGGGTGGAGATTATCTGTGTACCTCAGAGCTTGAGAACCTGGATGGCCTGGAGGATGAGAAGAGAGTTACAGACCCTTTTCACTTGAACCTGTAGACCAACGCTGTCCAATGGAACTTTCCACAGTGATGGGAAAATGTTCTTTATCTGTGATGTCCAATGTACTAACCACTAACCACTAGTACTTTTGGCTGTAAGCGCTTGAAATATGGCCAGTGCTTCGTGAGGGACCGAATTTTTCATTGTATTCAGTTTTAATTAATTTAAATGTAAGTAGCCATATGTGGCTTGTGGATACTGTATGGGGCAGTGCTGCCTTACAACCTTGAAAATGTATAGTCTCAGAAATGTGGGATTTTTGGGGCGCCTGGGTGGCTCAGTTTGGTTGAGCGTCGGACCTCAGCTCAGGTCAAGATCTCACAGTTTGTGAGTTCAAGCCCCACGTCAGGCTCTGTGCTGATAGCTCGGAGCCTGGAATCTGCTTCGGATTCTGTGTCTCCATCTCTCTCTGCCCCCTTTCTCATGCTCTCCCTCTCTCTATAAAAATAAACATTAAAAATTTTTTTAAATAAAAAAAGAAATGTGGGATTTTATAAGTGTACTTCTTTAGAATCTCAAGATGCTGAAATATTGGATTTTTGGACCTTGGAATGTCATACTCCAAGATTCTTTGAAGTTGAGGCCTCTAGAAATGAGACTCTTAGAACACACAACTTTATAATCATAGACCTTAGAAATTTTAATCATTGACCTCCTTGGATCTTAGACCCTTAGAAACCTAAACTCTAATACACATAGATCCTTAGGGCTTTATAATCCTAAACCTTTAGAACTTCAGAATAGAAATGTGGATCCCGAGAATTTTGAGATAGAATGACCACACTTCCAGTTTTTAGCACTGAAACCCTCTGAAACCCTGGGGCCAACCAGGATGGTTGGTCACCCTACGTTGATGTTTTTGTTTTTTGTAAATTTTTTTTTTAATTTTTTTTTTCAACGTTTATTTATTTTTGGGACAGAGAGAGACAGAGCATGAACGGGGGAGGGGCAGAGAGAGAGGGAGACACAGAATCGGAAACAGGCTACAGGCTCCGAGCCATCAGCCCAGAGCCTGACGCGGGGTTCGAACTCCCGGACCGCGAGATCGTGACCTGGCTGAAGTCGGACGCTTAACCGACTGCGCCACCCAGGCGCCCCTTTTGTAAATTTTTAATGTGTATTTATTTTTGAGAAAGAGAGAGAGGGAGAGACAGAACATGAGTGGGGGAAGGGAAGAGAGAGAGGGAGACACAGAATCCAAAGTAGGGTCCAAGCTCTGAGCTGTCAGCACAGAGGCCGACGTGGGGCTTGAACTCACAAACCTTGAGATCATGACCTGAACCATATAGTGATAGAATCTTGGAACCTAAGACCTTTGGAATTGTAGACCCTTGAGCCTTAGGACTTCATATTCAGAGAGGGCTTTAGAACCTCAGAAGTTATTTAATCATCAGCACTAAAACTAGGAGCAAGGGCTCCTGGGTAGCTCAGTCGGTTGAGTGTCTCACTCTTGATCCTCAGCTTAGGTCTCTATCTCAGGGTTGTGAGTTCGGGGGAGGCAGGGGAGCTGCATTGGGCCCCACACTGGGCATGGCGCCTACTTCAAAACAAACAAACAAACAAACAAACAAACAAACAAACAGTGGTGCCTGGGTGGTTCAGTCCGTTGAGCATTTGACTCTCGATTTCAGCTCAGGTCATGATCTTGCCCTTCAGAGCACAGAGCCTGCTTGGGATTCTCTCTCCCTCTCTCTCTGCCCCTCCCCCGCTCATTTGCACATGACTGTGTGTGCTCTCTCTAGCTCTCTCTCTCAAAATAAACCTAAACAAATAAACAAAGAAAAAAAGCTATGAGCAAAGACCCTGAGAACCTTCAGAGACATGTAACTTCATAACCATGAGCCCTAAGTCTTTAAAACATTAGACCCTTAGTACCTTTGACCCTTGGGACCTTCTTATCTCAGAAATGCGGAATGTTGTAAACATACACTAAGACTGTAGTAATCATGAAATCTTAAAACCCTAAGGTCGGAATCTGTTCCCTCAGAATCTCAGAATTTTAGTAACTCAACATATCCATCATGGGATCTTTGATACTAAGATTGTTGAAACTTTATAATTATAAGATGTTGAAGAGTGGTGTCAAACCTAAGGGCCTCCCAGAAGCAGGTGACATAAATGAGAGAGTAGACTGGGGGCTATGGTCAACTGGGGAACAATACCCTGGTCACCAGCTCCAGCCATGGGAACTGTGGGCCCAAATTTGCTAGCTCTGATTTTTTAAAAAATGTTATTTGTTTGTTTGTTTATTTATTTATTTATTTTTAAAATTTTTAATGTTTATTTATTTTTGAGAGAGAGAGAGAGAGAGTGACAGAGCGTGAGTGGGGGAGGGGCAGAGAGAGAGGGAGACACAGAATCCCAAGCAGGTTCCAGGCTCCGACCTGTCAGCGCAGAGCCCGACGCGAGGCTTGAACCCATGAACTGTGAGATCATTCCCTGAGCCGAAGTCGGACGCTCAACCGACTGAGCCACCCAAGCGCCCCTGAATATTATTTATTTTTGATTGAGAGAGAGACACACACAGCGTGAGCGGGGCAGGGGCAGAGAGAGAGGGAGACACAGAATCTGAAGCAGGCTCAAGGTTCTGAGCTGTCAGCACGGAGCCCGACGCGGGGCTTGAACTCATGGATTGCAAGATCATGACCTAAGCCGAAGTCGGACATTCAACTGACTGAGACACCCAGGTGCCCCTAGCTCTGATGTTTTTGTACAATTTCCCAATTAAAAAAAATCTATATGTGCCACAAAAGTGTGAATGAGAATTAACTAATGGATGGCCAGCTTCCTCTGATTTAGAAACTAGAATGGGGTCTCCTGGGTGGCTCAGTCGGTTGAGCATCTGACTTTGGCTCAGGTCATGATTTCACAGTTCATGAGTTTGAGCCCCGAATCAGTCTCTGCACTGGCACTGACAGTGAGGAGTCTGCCTGGGAATTCTCTCTCTCTCTCTCTCTCTCTCTCTCTCTCCTCTCTCTCTGCCCCTCCCCCACTCATGCTTTTTCTCTCTCTCTCTCAAAATAAATAAATAAACTTAAAAGAAAAAAAAGAAACTAGAGGGGCGCCTGGGTGGCTTAGTGGGTTAAGTATCCGACTTCGGCTCAGGTCATGATCCCGCAGTTTGTGAATTCGAGCCCTGCATCAGGCTCTGTGCTGACAGCTCGGAGCCTGGAGCCTGCTTCGGATTCTGTGTTTTCCTCTCTCTCTGCCTCTCCCCCGCTTGTGCTCTGTCTTTCTCTGTCTCTCAAAAATGAATACATGTAAAAAAATAAAAATAGAAATAAAAAGAAACTAGAATGGTATAAAATATACTCGTGGAAACTTAAAATCATACTTTTAGACTCTTAGAATCTTAAAAACTTGGGATCACATCAACTTAGAATTCTAGATTATTTCATCCACAAAATATCCAGTGCCTCCCCTGTGCCTGACCTATGCTGGACAATCTGAGGGACATGATGGTAACTGAGCCAGCCCAAAGAGCTCCCAGTCCCCTGGGAGAGTAGTGATGACCCCGAGTGGTCAGGGCCAGGATGGTGAGGCACAGGCAGGGGGCTGGGATGGGGAAGCCCAGGGACTATTGGAGCTCAGATGAGGTGCCTGATTCAGTCCAGAGAGGCAGAGTGCTTCTTGGAGGAGGAGATGCCTAAGCTGAGCCCGGAAGGATGAATAAGAGTGAACCCTGGGGTGGAGAGCAGAAGAATATTCCAGGCAGAGGAAACAGCATATGCAACCCTTCCAAAAGTTGGGAGTGGGTAGAATGCAGTGGTGACTAATGCAATGCTAAAGGAAGCAGCTGGAGTCAGATCCTGAGGGGCCTTCTAGGCCGCCGTGTAGGTTGTGAGGGCACTGGGGAGCTATGGTAAGATTTTAAGCAGGGGTGGGATGTGGTAACATGGGGATCAAGGACTCTTCACTGATTCACAGAACATCAGTGCCGATACCACAAACAGACAAACATCTAGTCCAGAGAAGTGTAGGGATCCCCTGTAAGAAAAAAAAAAAACAATTCTCATATGTGCCCCATGTCTTCTTAAGTTATTACATCTATAATTTTCCTAAATGCAACAAACCCACAACTGTTTTCATCTCTCTTGTTCTACATTTATTTATTTATTTTGAGAGGGAGAGAAAAAAAGAGAGAGTGTGAGTGGGGGAGGGGCAGAGAGAGAGAGAGAGAGAGAGGGAGAGCGAGAATCCTAAGCAGGCTCCAAGCTGTCAGCATGGAGCTTGATGTGGAGCTTGAACCCACAAACTGTGAGATCATGACCTGAGCTGAAATCGAGAGTCAGACACTTAATGGACTGAGCCACCCAGGTGCCCTGTTCTGGTAGTTTTTTGTTTGTTTGTTGATTGATTGATTGATTGATTGATTGATTGATTTTGAGAGGGAGACAGAGAACACAAGTGGGGGAGGGGGGCAGAGAGAGAGAGAATCCCAAGCAGGCTCCACGCTCAGTGCGAGTCCAATGCAAGGCTTGACCCCACGACCCTGGGATCATGACCTGAACCGAAATCAAGAGTTGGTTGCTCAGCTGACTGAGCCACCCAGGTACCCCTCCCATTCTGATATATACTTAAAAAAATTTTTAAGTTTATTTATTTATTTTGAGAGAGAGAGAGCACGCAGAAGGGGCAGAGAGAAAGGGAGAGAGAGGATCCCAAGCAGCCAATGCATTGTGAGTGTGGATCTGGATGTGGGACTTGAACTCATGAACAGTGAAATCATGACCTGGGCCAAAATCAAGAATTGGACACTTAACCAACTGAGCCACCAGGCACCCTAGTTTTTTTGTTTTGTTTTGTTTTGTTTTGTTTTGTTTTGTTTTGTTTTGTTT